TGTTGACCAGGATGGTCTCGATCTCTTGACCTCGTGATCCACCCGCCTCGGCCTCCCAAAGTGCTGGGATTACAGGCTTGAGCCACCGCGCCCGGCATGAACTAGCACATTAACACATTCTTGGCAAGTCAAGATTACTTCATGCAACTTTAGTCCCATTCAGTACTCTTCAAAGAGAACTGAGCTATAATCACAGAATGGACTAAAGGGTAAGTCATTTTGCTGCTAACTACTTTTAATCATATAGATGGTTTGTACACTGGCATTAGAACACCTCAAAATTCATTAAAACACTATGAAAAAGACTATCATACAATGTTAGAGTGTTATAAATTTGATATATAAAATTACAAATTTACCAAAACAATAAACTGCAAACCATTTCACCACATCTTCAGAAATATTTTCTAAAATCCAATTCATCAGAACTTTGGTTATCATCGAAACAAGATAAAAGATACATCTACAGCACTGCCACATTGTGATACTGTCTAAAGAAATTAGTGACTTGCCACATGAAAATACAATATAGGGCTGGGCGAGGTGGCTCACTCTTGTAATCCTAGCACTTTGGGAGGCTGAGGCGGGTGGATCATGAAGTCAAGAGATTGAAACCGTCCTGGCCAACATGGTGAAACCCTGTCTCTACTAAAAACACAAAAATTAGCTGGGCGTGGTGGCACATGCCTGCAGTCCCAGATACATGGGAGGCCAAGGCAGAAGAATCGCTTTAACCTGGGAGACGGAGGTTGCAGTGAGCAGAGATCCCGCCACTGCACTCCACCCTGGCAACAGAACGAGATTCCATTTCAGAAAAAAAAGAAAACACAATATAGATAAGCAGTTCTTTATTTTAATGTAAGTACGTATAGCTAAATAGGTCACATCTTTTACACAGTAAGTAGATGTACTTTGCCCTGTGATTAACTATACAGCTATTATCCAAATTGACTATGTCAAGAACTCCTATCATATCCCTAGCCAGTTGTTATCCTTCCTTGGAAGACTCACATTCCTCATCCCCACATCCTTTTGCCTGGTTAATCCTTAGCATTTCTTCAGATAACAGATTAGAAGTCATATACTCTTGGAGGTCTGCTCTGTCTTCCCATTATATGATCTCCTAGCACTCAATATACACAATCCCCTATTAGTAGGGCCAATGCAATTAGTGCCTAAGAAGACTTTCTGGAACCCTAAACCTAGTAAGAGCCCTCAGGGAGTCTTCCTAGTATAGTCTTCAAATTTGACATGCTTTTATAATTTTGTGCAACTTTCAATAAGGTCTCTCATCAAGTACAGAATATGCTCCACAATATGCAAAGACTTTAACCAATCCCCAGTTGTCTGCTAATCTGCATACTACTTCTTCCACCATGTCCAGTGTATTTCTTGTGTTGTTGTTATTGTTATTTCTGCTCTAAGTCCAGACTATCATTATCATATTTTACTGGCCATGAAGGGTCAAAAGACTTCAGCAGAACACAAAATAAAAAAGAGGAGATGCCATTTTGAACTCAGAATGGTGAAGCAGAAAGCTTCCAGGATAAAGAGAGTTGAAAAAAGATGTAAACAAAGCAAAAAGACAGATTAAGAAATGAGTGAACAAAGCAGCCCTGAAATCAACAATTTAATTAAAGAAGCAACAGAATTTATCAAGCAGAATATTGTGATATCCAGTGGATTTGTGGGAGGCTTTTTGCTCGGACTTGCATCTGAAGGACATGAGTATTCTCCCATGGTGAATTCAACTACGAGAAGAGAAGTGGTAGCAATAAGGCGGTGTCTCAACAGTACATGCTGCCAAAGTCTGCAGGGCAAGGAGAAACAACTAGCTGGACAATACTGAATTCACAACTTAGCATTTTGCCATCTGAAGCTTGGCAAACTAATATCTGCTGTAATACAACCTACACGATATGTGAACCATAGTATTCCTGAGCAAAACGTGACTTTCATCACTTCGTAAAAATTTGCATCTGTTTAGAAACTAGCCTATAAAATATCAACAATGGATGTAAATATGGGGATAAAAGAAATATGTTGGATTTATTGCTTAGAGAAGTATTATTCTTTTTATTTAAATAAAATGTTCTTCATTGTGTTTTATGGTATATGTCAATAATTTAAAATTTGTATTATTGCTTCAGTATTAAGGCTGACTTTTTTTTTTTAAATGTTTGCAATAAGTTAAAAAATTGTAATACCCTTTTGTGGAAAGCTTTAGAAGTGATATAATTATAAAGATATTAAACAGACTCTGCTGATGTAATATGGAAAAAAAAAAATTTCCAGGCTAAAGAGCATAGGCTGCTAACACTCATGAACCAAGAGGGTACAGTCCAGCTTGCCCTAGCTCTCATTTGCTAAGAGAAAATGATCACATTCAGAGCACAGAAAACAGGTACTGTGACATATTTCTTTATATGTACATTTTCCAAGGGAAAACTTTTTGGACGCAAATAATCTAATGACAAATTAGCGGTATTGGGCAGGATTAAACAGGATACACTTACCTCCCCTATCACCAGTTACCACATTAATTTTATTACTGTTTCAATCATCTATTTTTCCTCACTAAATGATAATTATAAATCAAAAGGGCTCTGTATTATGCTTACTGCTAGCACGTAACACATACCTAAAATATAGCTGGCATACAGTCATTGAATGTTTACAAATAATTGCTGGCTGATTCACAGAGTTGGAAATATTTGCTCAAAAAATTCTTTTGCAAAAGAAATTATTTTGCATTCTTTTTAAAATTTTTGTTTATTTATTTTTGATAGTCACACTCTGTCACCCAGGCTGGAGTGCAGTAGCACGATCTCAGCTCACTGATTTTGCATTCTTTACATGTATACACAAAGGTATTGCTACTGCTAGGCCATCTAACTCTACCACCTTTATTTATTAACATCTCCATATTATGCTCATTCATTTAGAGATTATCTTCAGTCATACTGATGTTACCATTCTGTGGCTGCAGATGAGGTACTACTTTATCTTTTCAAACTTTTAAAATTTCTCCTACTGTCTTAGAAGTGTAGACTACTCTTGTCTTTGTGATGACTGGATTCATCTCTTGATGGTGTCAATGAATCTTTGTCTTCACAGAACATGGGAAATTAGCCGCAAACCATCTCTAGCCACTGATGGGCAACATCTTCAGACCAGTAACCTCATCATAACGTCATGAACAAAAGGAAAAAAGGGAGAACCACAGTATCCATTTGTTCCTTAAGGAAATAGAATGTTGAGCTATATAAAAACTGGTTCTCTTTACCAACTTGACTATTTCTCCCTGAAAAATAAAACTCTCTATCAACTGAGAGCTATACTACTGTATTTATTTATCATTATTTTTTGATATGGAGTCTTGCTCAGTGTTGCGATCTTGGCTCACTGCAACCTCTGCCTCTCAGGTTCAAAGAATTCCCTGCCTCAGCCTCCTCGTTAGCTGGGATTACAGGCACCCGCCACCATGCCCGGCCAATTTTTATACTTTCAGTTGACATGGGATTTCACCATGTTGGCCAGGCTGGTCTTGAACTCCTGACCTCATGATCCACCCACCTCGGCCTCCCAAAGTGCTGGGATTACAGGCATGAGCCACCATGCCCGGCCTACTATTTTATCTTTTAAGGCCTCCCTGAAGACAAATATAGTCTTACTTCTTACTATGCACCAACAATAAATAACCCATCAAATTCTGGTTGAAATAATTTTCTTGCTGTCCTCCAAATATACCAGCTCTTATATCCATATTTTTGTTCATACATATATACAACCATCTGCCAAACAAAACCCTATGTATCTTTTCAGGTCTTCTTCAATTCCTTTCCAGAAGTATTCTTGACCATGCCAGTCTCTACCCCTGCCCTCTTTTCATAATTTCTTATATAAGATATATAACTGAGCAACACATCATACGTTTTTATGGTTTTGTTTTTGAGACAGAGTCTTGCTCTGTCACCAGGCGCCAGGCTGGAGTGCAGTGGTGTGATCTTGGCTCACTACAACCTCCGCCTCCTGGGTTTAAGCAATTCTCCTGCCTCAGCCTCCCAAGTAGCTGGGACTACAGGCGCATGCCACCATGCCCAGCTAATTTTTATATTTTTAGTAAACACAGGGTTTCACCATGTTGGCCAGGATGGTCTCGATCTCTTAACCTCGTGATCCGCTCACCTCGGCCTCCCAAAGTGCTGGGATTACAGGTATGAGCCACCGCTCCTGGTCCATAATATGTTTTAATAAGGAATTTGCTATTATTTAACGTGAAATACTTACACAGTAAGTTTTTAGTTCCTCTTCTCCCATGCACCACCTACAAACAATACTGTGCACACGGCCTTTAATAAATAACACTTCACTGATTTAGTGACATTTTCTTCTCAATTGTGGCTCCAACACCAACACTAACTAATGGAACTAAAGACAACAGAAACACCACTGCTTTGCACATCTAAACTTTGGTGTGTAATTTAATGTCACGATGCTGGTCTTTCTTATTCGGCCCTCTTTTCCTGTATGGTGCAACTAATAAAATGGATTTCTAATAAAAATTAAATTAAAAGACAAAATTTCCAATAAGGTAGTGAGCATTACTGGAGAAAGAGAGAAGGCCCTAACGGTGCTTAATTAACAGACTAGTGAGCATTGTGGCCTGCCTGATGAGCTGCTGAAAGTGGTATAAGAATGGGAATTTATATACATATGTTTTATTCCACAAGTGACGAAATGGTTCAGAAAACATATCTTCAAAACTGAAACAGCTCATCACACTATCATAGAGGCAGCCTAGGGATACTGGTGAACATTCTTCAACTAAATCTACTTAAGAGTCCTTTTAATAATATTCAGTGGGCCAGGCGCGGTGGCTCACGCCTGTAATCCCAGCACTTTGGGAGGCCGAGGCGGGTGGATCACAAGGTCAAGAGATCGAGACCATCCTGGTCAACATGGTGAAACCCCGTCTCTACTAAAAATACAAAAAATCAGCTGGGCATGGTGGCGCGTGCCTGTAATCCCAGCTACTCAGGAGGCTGAGGCAGGAGAATTGCCTGAACCCAGGAGGCGGAGGCTGCGGTGAGCCGAGATCGCGCCATTGCACTCCAGCCTGGGTAACAAGAGCGAAACTCCATCTCAAAATAAAAAAAAATAAATAAATAATAATAATAATAATAATACTCAGTGCTTTCATTCAGAAATAGAGAGTTACACAAAAAAGGCAGTGCTTTAAAAAGATACGACTATTTTATGAGGTTGTTAATCAGAAAGAAAGGAAGACTTCTACTGGTCAATGAGAACCACCAGAGTAAAAACTTTGCCCTTCTGTTTATAGAACTGTGGCATTTGTGACAAAGTAAGAAGGGCTTGTAACAGTGATTCTCAGCCAGGGGTCATTTCGTCCCCATGGACATTTAGCTATGTCTAGAAACGTTTCTGTCACAACTGCAAGGTGGTGGGATGGGGAGTGCTATGGGGATATTGCTAAACATCCTACAAAACATAGGAAATCTCACCCTACCCCACAAATAATTATCCTGCTCAAAATGTAAACAATGACAGGATTGAAAAGCCCTGGCTTATACAATATATTCTAGTATGATGAATGCAGCTAGGCACACTGGCTCACGCCTGTAATCCCAGTACTTTTGTGAGGTTGAGGCAGGTAAACCACTTGAGGTCAGGAGTTCAAGACCAGCCTGGTCAACGTGGAGAAACCCCGTCTCTCCTAAAAATACAAAACTTAGCCAGGTGTGGTGGCGCATGCCTAGAGACCCAGTTACCCAGAAGGCTGAGGCGTGAGAATTGCTTGAATCCGGGAGGTGGAGGTTGCAGTGAACGGAGATCACGCCACTGCATTCCAGCCTGGGTGACAGAGTGAGAAGGAATAAATAATAAATAAATAAAATAATAAATTAAAAAAATAAAACAGTACAATGACTACTCTGAGTTTATCAGAGGGCATCACATTAGGGAAAAAAGAAAGGCAGCACAAAATAAACATTTTTATAACAAAGGCTGTTTTCTAAACGTACCACAGCCCTCACCATGCCAGGAAAACTTAATAGTCTTCCATCTAAGTCATCTCTAGAAGATAAAGTCTGTCATATCAGGATATTTCTGTAACGGTAGCTTCAACCTTCATCTCAGAATAAGCTAAGGAGATTTAAGAAGAACTGAAAATGCCCATCTGAACCCAATGTCATAGGCTGAATTGTGTCTCCAAAAATTCCTACGTTAAAGCCCTAACCCCCAGCGTGACTGTGTCTATAGACAGGGCCTTTAGGAAGATAATTAAGGCTAAATGAGTTCATAAGGGTGGGTCTAATACAATAAGGCTTATGTCCCCATAAAAAAAAGAGACACCAGAGACTGATCTCTCTCCAAACAAGAACAGAGAAAATGTATGGTGAGGACACAGAAAGAAGGAAGCTGCCTGCAAGCTGAGAGGAAAAACGCAAATTTTCTGACACCTAGATCTTGGAATTCTTGCCTCTTGAACTGTGAGAAAATATGTTTCTGTTGCTTAAGGCACCTAGTATGTGGTATTTTGTTACGGTAGCCTAAGTAGACTAATATACACACAAAGATTTTCTTTCAAATGGCCTGGGATATGGTGTAAACTGATTAACTTTCAGTCAAATCCCAAGTGACTCCAACATCTAGTCAGAAACCACCAGTCTAACACTACAGAATTACAAACATGCTTGAAGGAATACACTGTTCAGAAAAATTCTAAGGTTTAGCCCAAGGTGAAAACTAGGATACTTTTTGCCAAAATTATTTCCTCTCTCTCTCTTTTAGGATCTGGAGATAACATGGCATCACCTTCAAATTCTTTTGACATTTCATTGGTTTCTGAGTTTTGTGTTAAGAGATATAATTTACTTCAAAAGGTACACTGATAAAGCTAATGTCATCAATTATTTTTTTCTACACTATGGAAGACGGAGCTCTTGCAGAAAAAAAAAGATTCCTAGTTCATTATTTTCTCTTAACAATCACAAGTATGAGTCAGTTGGTGAGACTTTTCAGGAGGACTAGATTTGAACGTATAAAATAGTGCTCACCAGACCACTCCATTATAAACAAGACATTAAAAAGTTATGAAGTGGCCAAATGTGGTGGCTCATGCCTATGATCCCTAGTAATTTGGGAGGCCAAGATGGGAAGATCACTTGAGTCCAGGAGTTTGAGACCAGCCTGGGCAACAAGTGAGACCCTACCTATAAAATAAAAGAGAGAGAGAAATGGCATAAAAAAAAATTACATTCTTTTGAAATAAGTATATGCATTTGCACATAAATTTCAAATGAAAATGAAATTAAAAACTGTATCATACCTGGTAAAGTCTGGTGGAACAGGAGTGGTAACAAAAGATGCCATGGGCTTCCGATGAACTTGCTGAAACATCATAAGGATCTCTGAGCTCTTAGATATCAACTCACTCTTACTACAAGACCGCAACTGTGTGAGGAAAAAAATTATCTGAACAAACAAAATTACTGTTCATTACAACCTCAAAATTTACAAATTATTCTGATTATAAACTGGGAAAAAAAAAAATGAGAAAAAAAAAGTGAGCCTGAGAATTAAGAATCTATTAAAAAATCTAGGTTTATTTCTATAATATTCTAACAGTAAAGTCACTGAATAAGTATACTTAATGCATTTTTCTCTTCTTATATTTTAGGGTAAGTGAGGTTTTAAGCAAGTACAAATATATTTTCAGGCTGATACAGTGAAGTTCTTATGAATGTATTAATAAACAAACCTCTAAGTTGAAAGCTTTTAAAAGCAATCATTTCTCAGACTGTATTCTAGGTAACAGAATACAGAATGTATACACACACACCCATGTACACATAGACACACACCCCATTACTCAATACTAATTTGGGAAACACTACTTTGGGAAAAAGTAATAAATCGAACTTCACTAACATAATCATGGTAGACAAAAACAAGACTACTAATTTTTTCTTCAAGAAAACCAGTTTTAAGTTCCACTTCTGCCATTGACTAATTACATAACTCTGAGTCTGTTTACATAACAAACTAGAATAATAATCCACCACTGCTTACTTTGTGAAGTTTGTTATAAGGATTATGAAGCTACAGTGAAGATGATTTGCAAACTATCTGTTATGTGCTTAATTCTGTGCCCCCTTTCCATCATAATTTATATGCTGCAGGCTCAACCTCCAGGACCTCAGCCTATTTGGAGATAATCTTTAAAGAGGTGATTAGGTTAAAATGAGGCCATTGGGGTAGGGCCTTAATCTAACATGACTGGTGTCCTTATTAAGATCAAGAGACTCTAGGGCTGCATATTCACCCAGAAAAGTCCATATGAGGACACAGTAAGAAGGCAGTCATCTACAGGCCAAGAAGAAAGACCTCAGAAGAAACTAAACCTGCCAACACCTGAATCTTAAGACTTCCAGCCCCTAGAATCATGAGAAAACAAATTTCTATTGTTTTAAGTCTCACTGTCAGTGGTATTTTGTTATGACAGGCCTAGCAAACTAATGTACTATCAAATGCCATATTAATGATATTCATAAAACCCACCTACAGTTGTGTTTATATCTTTTAAATAACAGTTGCTTATGGCTCACCAAAAATAATGTATCATATGTCTGGGCACAGTGGCTTACGCCTGTAATCCCAGGACTTTGAGAGGCCAAGGCAGGTGGATCACTTGAGGTGGAGTTCAAGACCAGCCTGGCCAACGCGGTAAAACCTCATCTCTATTAAAAATACAAAATTAGCTGGGCATGGTGGTGCATGCCTGTAGTCCCAGCTACTCAGGAGGCTGAGGTACAAGAATTGCTTAAACCCCCCGGAGATGGAGGTTGCAGTGAGCCAAGATCACGCCACTACACTCCGGCCTGGGCGACAGGGTGAGAACTCATCTCAAAAAAAAAAAAAAAGTATCATATATCATATGATATATACCAAAATGTAACCTTGGGTTACTAAGAATCGAGCTACTGCATCAACCAATGACATAATGGTAAGTGGTAACGGCAGAAAACAAGCAGCTGCATATTTTATCATTCATATTATTACGTATCAGGCATTGCCTAAGACATTAAGGTTTTTTGAATAATTTACTTAAAATGGTCTAATGTTATTTAAATACTGTTTGCTTATAATTTTTAAAGTATGATAAAAATCACTCTGTATATGTACATATATATACACATAATACAAAAAATTTTAATTTATATTAATTGAATGCTTACTGTGTATATCCTTCCTTGACACCATTTCTTCCAAAAGCTCCCTCCAACAAAAGTTTATCATCACCATACTTGTGTTTCTACAATTATTATGTGTGTATATACATCCATAAACAATGTTTTGAATGTTTTCAAACTTTACATAAACACCATCGGGCTATATCACCATGTAGCCTACATTTTTCAGTTAATATTATTTCACTTTTTTTTTGAGACAGGGTCTTGCTGTGTTGCCTAGGCTGGAGTGCAGTGACACAATCTCAGCTCACAGCAGCCTCTGCCTCCCAGGTCCAAGTGATTTTCACACCTTGGCCTCTTGAGCAGCTGGGACTACAGCCATGCACCACCACCCCCAGCTAAGTTTTGTATTTTCAGTAGATACAGGGTTTCACCATGTTGCCCAGGCTGGTCTTGAACTCACTCAAGTGATCCACTCACCTTCGCCTCCAAAAGTGCTACAATTACAGGCGTGAGCCACCACGCCCGGCATATTTCTTTACTTTTTTAAACAGACAAGTCTTGCTACGCTGCCCAGGCTGCAGTGCAGTGGCTATTCACAGGTACAATCACAGCACACTGCAGCCTTGAATTCCTGGACTGAGGCAATTCTCCTGCCTCAGCTACCTGAGTAGCTGGGACTACAGGCATTCACCCAACCTCAATACTGTTTGTTAAAAACTAAGACAACAGCCTAGGCCTACACATGGTCAGGATCATCAATATCACCATCTCCCACCTTCACATCTTGTCCCATTGAAAGGTCTTCAGGGGTATAAGCATATATGGATCTACAATGATAACAATGCCTTCTTCTAAAATATAGTCAACTTTTTAAAAATAAGTACAGGTAAACTCTAGAATATACTCTAGAATAATGAATAAAAGTATGGTACAGTAAATACATAAACCAGTAGCACAGCTGTTTACTATACTAATCAAGTATTATATACTATGTATAATATGTGTTATACTTTTGTACAACAAGCGGCCCAGAATTTTTTTTTACACCAGCATCACCATAAACACATGATTAATGCTTTGTGCTACTACATTACAATGGCTATGATGTCACTAGATATCTCTACTAGGCAAAAGAAATATTTCAGCTCCATTATAATCTTATGGGACCACTGTCACATATGTAGTCTGTTACTGACCAAAAGGTCATGATTTGGCACATGTCTGTACATGGGAGATGTGTACAGGTTATATATGCCATTTCATATAAGGGACTAGAGTATCTGTGCATTTTGGTATCCATGAAGATCCTGGAGCCAATGACCCACAGATACTGAGGAAAATTATTATATTAAGAAAGGGGTGAACAACCAATATCAGCCTTTCCAAAAATATACCAAAAAGTAAAGAGCATCAACATAATGAAGAATTTACATCAACTAATGGGCAAAACAGCCAGCTAGCATCAAATGGCAGTATTAAACTCACATATATCATTATTAATCTTAAATTTAAATCGACTAAATCCCCCAATCAAAAGACACAGCCAAAACCCATCAATATGCTACATCCAGACCCATCTCACATGCAAGGATACACAGACTCAAAACAAAGGGATGGAGAAAAATTTACCAACCAAATGGAGAGCAAAAATAAATAAATAAATAAATAAATAGCAGGAATTGCAATAATCACCTCGGATAAAATGGACTTTAAAGCAACAAAGATCAAAAGAGGCAAAGAAGGACATTACAAAATGGTAAAAGGATCAATGCAACAAGAAGGGATAACCATCTTAAATATATATGCACCCAATACAGGAGTACCCAGATACATAAAACCTATAAAGACACTTAGACTCCCACATAGTAATAGTGGGAGACTTTAACATCAATATTAGACAGATCAACGAGACAGAAAATTAATAAGGTTATCCAGGACTTGAACTCAGATCTGGGACAACTAAGCTTAATAAACATTTATAGAACTCTCCACTTCGAATACACAAAATATACACTCTTATCAGTACATCACACCTACTCTAAAAGTGAAGTAAATCATTCCTCAATAATTATATAGCATTTCACAGGTTTTTATTTATTTATTTATTTTTTTGAGATGGAGTTTCGCCCTTGTTACCCAGGCTGGAGTGCAATGGCGCGATCTCGGCTCACCGCAACCTCCGCCTCCTGGGTTCAGGCAATTCTCCTGCCTCAGCCTCCTGAGTAGCTGGGATTACAGGC